TCCATCCGGCACCTGGTGGCTGCTGGGCCCTGTTTGAGTGCTGCCACTGCCAACACATCATCCAAGTATGGGTTTATTTTGGTATTTTTTCTGTCTGCAAAAGCAAAGAGAAATTCCTAATTTCTCTTTAGAATCTGTGATGTGTCTTTGGACAACCCTTTCCCATACTGTAATAAAAAAAAATGGGCTCCCCTTCCCCTCCTGCCTTTAGCACCGTGCCACTGTTACTGCTCGGGTGTCCTTGGAGATGGTGGCTCCAGCTGCCCAAAGAGATGTTGGTGCCACGTGGAAACCCAAAGAGGAGGCAGATGTATTTGTTCAGTAACATCAGAGCTGTCACTTCGGAAAGCTTTGCAAGCAGAAATCCAACAAGAGACTGAGGTGCCCCATCTCTGAAGGTTTGGAATCTGCAGCTGCACATTTGGCAGAGGGCTGCCAGGAGGCAGACTGCTGGGGCTGCTCTGCTTATGTGTCCCGAGAGTTCTCCGCACCGATGGCACCTGCAGGAGGCGAAGGGATCCACACAGATTATTCCACATTATGTTCAAAGTAATGATGAGTCTTAAAATAGCTCTCAATTAGCAATTGATTGCAATTAATTGGAACAACATAGATTGGCATGACGCCTTCATATCTCTAGAGCATTTATCTGTTATGAGTCCTAATTTTTAAAAATTCAGAAACTGTGGCTCCCATATTATCATAACCATCTGTTGGCAATTTGCACTGTAAGTCTTCCGGAAGCAGGCTGCCCGTGTGCTTTGTCTTTGCTAATTAAACAGTTTTTAGAAGGGGCTCAAGTTCAAATGTAAACGGTGAAGGGCAGAACAGAGGAAAACACTGGAGTGAGTTTCCACCTGTATGTGTGCAAATGCGTGTATTTATATGTGTGCATCTCTTGGTGTTTTGCAGCAGCTCAGTGCAGGCAGTGCCCGCAGTGGGGCCGTGGTGTGGCAGTGCCTGCAGGGGGGCTGTAGGGCTGGCAGTGCCGCAGTGGGGCCGTGGTGCTTTGTGGCACTGAGCTGGCTCTGAATGTTTGCATTATGCACTGAGGGAGTCTGGAGCAATGCTCATGTGGGTAATTCTAAAATTAGGACACTGAGAGGGATGTTCTTTCTGATTGGTTAGCCTAGATGGTTTTACCTCTGTTTTAATTAATGGAGGATTTTAACTCCTTTCTCAGTAGATAGCAGGAGCACGTTGGTGCTGAATGTCTGAGGATTCAATCCACGATCCACCTGCACTGCATCACTGGGCTCTGACCTGGGGTCTGCATCCTGCTGGATGCTCCACCTCCATACCCTGGGACAGGGCAGCCCCTGCTCCTTTATTCCAACTTTGCTTTCCAGAACTCGAGTAGAAATTTTAAGAAACAGGATTGTATTAAGATAAAATATTAGAACCGTAGTAATAAAGATACAGAACAGTCTTACACTGGTGGAGGCAGGGCTGGATGTAAGGGAAGATGTTGTAATGGCAGCTGCTGATGCCTGGTGCACCCAACTTAAACAAGCTGGAGGTGTTTGAGAGAGGGCAGGAAGAGTAAATGCTATTGGTGGAAGAAAACTTCTGCACCATTTTTTCATTTCACTGTAGGTCTCTTGGAAGAAGATAAATGCCACAGTCCTAATGGCCAAATATTGTTTCCACTTGCAGTATTTGGAAAGGAAAGGGACTGCATTTCAAGCACAGAGTGTTAAAGGGAACAGGAGGTTCAGGTTGGATATTAGGGACAATGTTTTCTCCAAAAGAGCGATCAGCAGTGGTACGGCTGTCCAGGGAGTGGGAGGTCACCATCCTGAGGTGCTCCATAACGTGGGGATGTGGCACTGGGGGACGTGGTTGGAGGGCATGGTGAGGTGGGCTGGGCTGCGGGTCTGAGGAGTCTGTTCCAACCTGAATGTACTGTGGTTCTATGACCATGGCAGCACTGATCAGTGGCAGCATGCTGGGAGGCTGATGTGTGTGCGCAGGCTGGGGCTGTGTCATCCTGCACATGGTTAGAACCCACACAGGGACCTCAGCAAATGTTGCTGCTTTTACACCACATCAGAAAATGTATATGGTAAAATCACATTACAACTTCAAAAGCATTAAAATGGATTGGGAAGGAGCCAGGCATCTGTGGAGAGCAGCTCAAAGCCAGTGGTGAGTTTGGCAGTGAGCAGGATGTGGAGGAGAGAAGACAGCTGAGACAGTGCCGGCCAGAGTGCAGATGAGCGCATTCAGAGCAGTGCTGTCACTGCTGGGGCCTCCCCTGCTCTGGTTGTCTGAAGAGTCCTTGGTCCAGAATGCACATAAATCTGCTGCACATCCATCCTGCTGCCAGTGCTGGTACCAGAGCCAATGACTGCATAGCATTTGTCGTTGTTCCTGAGCTTTACCTTGGTAATTTTGTTTGGACAGAGGTATTTTCCGCTGATCTGGCTAGATTACCAACTCAGAACGTATTTATTAAAACACCAATTAGACCTCAGTCTCTCATCAATCACAACACCTTTAATTCATGCATGGATGCAAAATCCATTTGAAGCATTGTGCGTGTGTGGACGAGTGATTTACATCAAATTGTCACTGGGCCACCATCGCCTGTCTGCAGGTCTGGGCCATCCAGGCTTTATTTACCTGCCAGATAATGTGTGGTAGTTCTTGGTGCCTCAGCCCTGTGGCTGGGAGGGGCAGGAGTGGGATGTGGGGCGCTGTGCTGAAGTTCTATTTAGTGGTTTAGTGTCATGGTGGGGGTAGGCTGGAGGCTGGCCTTGGTGATCTTAGTAATCTGTGGCAGCTTCATTCCGAAATATCACAACATTATGAGTTGTATAGATCTGAAACTAAAAAGAGAATTGACTGTACGTAGTGTGGTATTAAAACTAATATTATAAGATAGATGTCAAAACGAAGGGAGGTGGTGAAGAGCTGAGCGCTTTCCCAGTGCAAATGTCATCAAAGTCACCATCTGCTTTTGGAATACCGCAGCTCCACGAGGCAGTGCCAGCGGCAAGGAATTACCCAGGGACAGTCCATCCTGTCAGCCCTGCTCACCAGGAACCCGTGGGCTCACAGCTGGCTCAGGGGCTCCTGCTCTTGCTGGGACCACATGGAGATGTGAACCTGGCACTGTCTGTGTGTTCACACCACACTGCTGTGGGGTCCTTGGGGACTGGTGGCACTCACATCTGAGTAATTGATGTTTTGGTGAGCTGGCACAAATCGTACTTCTCAGAGCCCATACAGGTGGGCAGGAGATGCCCCATGTGCTGCAGCCACACTGCAGCGTGGTGTTGGACACATGGCAGCATTCCTGTGAAGCTCCGCTCCCAGAGCAGCGTGGCTGTGCTGGGGGACAGGAGCAGGAGGAGCAGCATGGGGCCATGTTCCCTGTGCTCAGGTTGCAGAATTCCAGCTCTGTATCTGCCTTGGGCTGTGCAGTGCTGGAGTTGGTGCCTGTGCACCATTTCTAACAACAACAAAAATCAACAAGAAACCCACACATTTTCATTGTTTTCAGTCCAAAGGCCCCGTGCACATCTCGGACCATGAGTGTTCCCTGTCCATGGGGTTGCTGCATGCAGCAGCTCAGGTTTCCCATTCCCAGCTCACAGTGCATTTGCTCTAACAGGGAGAGGAGAAGCATGCAACAGGCACTTGTGTGTCACTTACACATCAGAGGCTTTGCTGCTGCTTCAGAACCTTCTAATAATAATTATACTTAAGGCAGTAGGAGAGAAATGTTCTAAGATCAGGGAGAGAGGCTGCAGAGCCAGGCTGGGATTAATGAGCCCCTTTTATCCCAGCATCACTGAGCAGGCAGGCGGTAATTACCGAAGTGCGCGGTCACACCGGTGCAGTGTGCACATCTCTGCCAGGATGGGGGCTGCTGGGGGGCCAGCACTGCCCTGCACTGCCCTGTGCATGGGGCATCTGGCATGTGCCTCTGCTCGGAGGGCTGGGGGTGCCAGGGCTGCCCCGTGTGAGATGAGATGTGGGCACAGGGGCTGCATGGTGGAAGGTTTCGTGCCTTTGTCACAGCCAAGCAAATGATGAGAAATTTCAGTTTGGCCATTATTGACTTTCATCAGACAAGACAAAGGGCAGGTCCCGAAGCAAGCCTTGAATTCAGTTCAGGTGCAGAGACACAGACTGGGAGACTCCTCCACTGTTGAGCAATGAGCAGACAGGAGGAGGCTTTCAGCTGTTTGTTTCTTTCCCCATTTATACCCATGATGTGCATTGTGCTTGTGGCTGCAAAAGGAATGGCCTGAGGGCAGAGTGCCTCAGAGCTGCGCTTTGCTTCCCAGACCTCCAATTTGATGATTCTGGGATTCTATTTAGGGATGTGTTTCAGAGGGTATGATAGGGATGTGTTGGGGTTGGGCTTGGTGATCTTGGAGATTTTTTTCCAATCTTTATGATTCTGTGATTCTGTGATTCTGTGATGCCCAGTTGAGGCCTTTGGAGAGGGCTCAGTTTATCCCTCCTGCTGCAGGATGGATGCCATTGATGCAGCATCCTATTCAGCGTTATGGCTTTGATTTGTTACTTTCAGAAATAACAAGTAGTTCCATTGGATCCAATGAAAGCAAGAAGCTGCAGTGAGCACAGGCTGCAGTGACAGTGAGCACTGCCCTGGGCAGGCAGTGGCTTTCCCTGCATGCTTTGTCCCATGAGACCACCGCACTGTGCTGGTGCTCTGTGCCGCTGGACACACGCGTGGCTCCAGGCAGTGCACGCAAGGAGTGCAGGGAGCAGGACTGTGCACAGGGCCTCGGTCACCGCAACCATCAGCCGCAAACAGTTCGGTTTTTCTGGAGCTGCTTAACCACTTCCATGCACCATCAGCACATCCGTTCCTGCTGAGCATCCCAAATGTGCCCAAGGCGTGGGGCATAGCCATCAGTGGCTATGGGAACCGTGGCACTGATGGCCCTGAGGGCTCTGCTCCAGGGGAACCGTGGGCTCAGGGAGCTGCTGCAGGCTCTAACCACGCTCTCTCCCTCCAGGTGAGCCGTCCCGCTGGGCCTCATCCCACTGCGACTGCTGCTGCAAGAACGGCAAAGGCGAGAAGGAGGGTGAGAGCGGCACGTCCTGCAACGAGCTGTCGACGTCCAGCTGTGACAGCCAGTCGGAGGGCAGCTCCCCGCAGGAGACCGTCATCTGCGGCCCCGTCACGCGGCAGCCCAACATCCAGACACTGGACCGCCCGGCCAAGAAGGGCCCCGTGCTGCTGCTGCAGCACTCTGAGAGCCGGCGCAAGAGCGACCTGCTGCGGACGCTCACCTCGGGCTCCCGTGAATCCACCGCCGGCAAGAAGAAGGCAGTGAAGGAGAAGCTCTCCATCGAAGAGGAGCTGGAGAAGTGCATCCAGGATTTCCTCAAGATCAAAATTCCAGACAGGTTTCCAGAAAGAAAGCATCCCTGGCAGTCAGAACTGCTGCGGAAGTACCACCTATAGGTGGGATGATACCCATTGTTGTCACAGTGGGATACGGAGTGATGCGGAAACAATTCCCGATAGTAATTATGTGTTAGGTCACAAAAAACCAATCCATCTCTATAGTACTGCCTAATTTGCCTATCTCACCTTAACATTTATAGTCGTAGGGTAACGATATTTTTCCAGTTGTGGAAGCACAATGACAAATGTTTTTCTTTGTCAACTCTGAGTCTTACACAAGCAGAGTACCTTAAGGGCACGCAGGGCTGGCAGCGCGCGCTGCTTTGCTCTCTGGGGGTGTGCAGCTCCGTACCTGGGGGCAGCAGGGCTGTAGGAGCACTGTGCCAGGACAGCATTGCCTTCAGCACCTGGGTGTGGGTGTGCGCACATATATATGTGTGTATATACATCTCCGTGTATATATATGTATATATATATCAGAATACATTGCTGGCAGATTGGCTCCCTCCTGATCACTGCACTTTCTCAGGAAAGAGCACTGTTAGCAGCTGTGGATGGTCGGCTCTTTGCAGTCTCTGAGGGCTGCAGCAGAACCCCTTGCTCTGTCTCTCTCTCCTTTCCTTTTTCTGAGGCACCATGAATGCATTTCCCAGCAGACAGGGACAGGGCTCTCTGTTGCTGTGTTCCATGTGTTTCTGGTGCTCTCTCTCCATTGTCCCTCGCCCCTGCTGTACCCTCAGGCTGTGTGGGGGCCACGCGCTCAGCCCACACTGGTGGTGGGGCAGGCACAGCGGGCTCCCATCTGGTGTGGAAGCAAATGCTGGATGATCGGCCTGATGAGACTTGCTTAATGCTCTGACTGGAAGGGAATGGGTCTCTGGGTCAGCAGCTGTGTGCATTCCAGAGAACAGGAAATGAGCTGCATGAAGTGCCCCTGGGGCTGCTGTGGGTGCAGAGTGGCACCGCTGTAGGGGGAGGAATGAGCACTGAGGTGCTCAGAGAAATTATTCATTGTCAGACAGCACAAAAAGAGTGAAACACACAGATATGGGGCTGGCTGTAATGGACAGCTTGTCTCAGACTTATTTAGCATCATCTAGGCTCCAGAGATCCTGAATTTGATTCTGCCATGGGAAATGATGTCAGTGTGCACAGGTTATCTCTGCTGATCCTAAGGCAGTTTCAGTGAGGGGCTCCTCTGTGCTTGCAGGGCTCTGTTGTTCCCAAATCAGGGAGCTTTTGTTTTGCCAGGAGGATCATAAGGGCTGCTGAACAGAGCATCATACCCAAGGTGCGGCCGCAGGAGGGTATTGGTGAGGGTGCACGTGGACCTATGTGGACCAAATAATTTTTTTCCCCTATACTTTTCCCCTCTATTTTTCTCCTATATGCACCACAAAGATGCTTTACAGCGCTCTGGTGGGCAGTCTGTGGGGTTTTAGTTCCAGCCTGGGAGTCGGTTTGTTCCTTTCTTTGCAAAGCTGTGTGCAGAGGGCAGTGCTGGGCTGCCCGGTGCCGGCAGTCACTGTGGTAGCTGGGACCCCCTGCCCCCCCAAGTGCCCCCAGGCCCAGGAGGGAGCCCCTCCCTGCCCCACAGCGCTGCTGCATGCGGTGTTCTGAGTCCCTGACGAGTCAGCCCCATGTGTGCCATGGTACGAACTACTTGTCCAGTCCTATGGATAGATTATGCCCCCGCGGGGTTTTGTAGATTAATAGTAAAAGAACAACAATGACAACAACAACAACAAAAAAGCACTTTTAAATTATTTATATTATAAAAAGACATTCTTTATTTTTCTTGGCATCGATATCACTTAGCTACAAATCAGTTTGTAAGAATGCTATTGCAGATTTTAATCTATAGCAATGACCGAGCACGGGATGCGGCTCTGGGGGCCGTGGGGGGGGGGGGGGGGGGGGGCTGCGGGCGGTGCCTCCCAGCCCCGCTCACCCACAGCCCGGACCTCCCATGGCACGCAGTGACTTCGCTGCGGCGGAGTCCATCTATTGCACATCGACGTAGGTTAAGTGGCACCCACCGAATTACCTCTTCTACTCTCCGGCGTGGTTCACTTGTATATAAGTGTAATGTCAACTTGTTTACAGGTTACTTTGTGCTTAATCGTGGAAGAAAAAACTAAAGTTATAATGACAAATGTAAAGGAACCGAATTGACTGGAAGGTGTTTAACAATGAATGTGCTTAATGCAGTATAGACATCATCGGTTGTGGTCTCACACGAATGCATGTATCTCCGTGTCGTCAGTCCCCACCAGTGAGGTTATTGGCAATATTCTGCGGTCTGTGAATAGCAAATACACATACACTGCTGTGACTCTGACAATTATAACTCAGTTACTGTTTCTACTGTGGTATGTAAAAAAAAAAAAACAACAGCAACAACAAAGTAGCTTTTAGCCTGCTGTATTTCCCTGGGACAGATAACAACGAGAGAGCATGGAAATGGGGGGGAAATAGCAGTGCCCAAGCATGGCCTGGGGGCTGACGGGGGCTGCGTCCCTCTGGGGAGGTGCTGGGGGTCAGGGAGGGGTTGGTGGTGTGGCAGAGAGCTGAGCTCTGCTTTAGGAGCCCAATAAGCACAGTGCGATGGTGCAGGATTGGGGCTGCATGGGTGGGATGCAGTGTGGGAGTGCAGCTCTCGGCGCTTTGTGTCGGAGCTGAGACCTGCAGCTGCTCAGTGCCACTATGTGCACACGTACTGTGAGAGTACAGGCAGGGCTAAGCGAGTTGGTGCCCATACCTACCACATACACACATAGAAATGTGCAATGGGTGCCTCCATGCCTCCTCGCCCGCTGTGATTCCACATTGCTCCATGCGTACCAGGTCCCTGCAGAACAGGGATCACTCTCCCCTGACGTTTTTTGTTTTGCCCCGTTTGTACACACGAGAAGCTGAAGGCAGCACAGAGCAAACGTGAGCTGCAGCCCTCCTCCCTCCACCTTAAGAGATGGGAGCACCGCCACAGCTGCAGCTCATCTGGAACAGCTGGTACTGCATTGGGTTCACCTGATGGAGCATTCCAAAGAACACCAGATGCAGCTCTCCTGTATTCTTCAAGGCACCCTGTGAGGGAAGGCTCTGTCACGTTCACAGATTGGGGCAGCTGCTGGAGCTGGGAGCAGCCCTCTGCTGTACCCTCCTGCAGGGTCCTCCGGGTGGCAGCTGCTGGATGTGGGTTTCTGTTCATCCCCTCCCTGCACAGTTTCTCGGGGTCACTGCTCTGCACCAGCATGACTGCAATGGGGTTGGCAATGCTGGGGCAGAAGAGCTTGAAGAGCAGCAGCTGAGCACCTGTGTGGCTGCATGTTCCGGGAGAAGGGTTTTTAAATTATTGTTGGTCTTTGGTACTTGCCTGTTCCTCAGCAGAGCCCATTCTGATGGCACCTCCTGCACCTGCACCTCCCACACTGCTGCATTTCCTACATACCTGCACTGCTGCACTTCCTATACTCCTGCACTGTTGCACCTCCTGCACTGCTGCACTCCTACACTGCACCTGCACCTCCTGCACTGCCTGCACTGCTGCTTGGAGCAGCACTGAGGAGCACCGTGTGCTCATCTTTGAGGAGGTCTGTCCAGAACCCGGTGCTGCTGTGAAGTTCATTGGCTGTGCCACAGGGTCTGGGGCTGCAGGGCTGTGTGCATGAGCATCCAGCAGCAGCCACTCGGTGCTGCAGAACAAAGCCAATTAGCAGGGCTCCAGCTCCCTGATAATAATTCTTGGGAGAAGAGGAACTGTTCTGGAATACATTATTGTCTTCATTTCTTTTCATGTGCAAAGAAATAAAAAGCTTGTCCTTCACTGGCAGCCGGGGTGAGGACAATCCAGTGGTAATGAGGGAAGCCCTACTCAGAGGCAGTCCTGCCCTCTCCCTCCCAGCACACAGAAGGGTTTGGGGCTTCTGATCGCCTCCCACCTACCCTGATGCCCCCATGTGCCAAGGGGCAGCAGCACAGAGCCCCACAGTGCTGGGGCTGCACTGCCCGGGGGTGCAGGGCAGGAGCCTCACACGGGGTGGATATGAAGGAGCAGAGGCTGTTCAGATTGCAGTACCTGTATGATAATTACTGCAGACTTAATTACCTCCCATACACACTGCACAAAGTGCATGGGAGGTAGGAGTGTGTCCTTTGATACCAGCTGGTGTCAGAAAATAATTTTAATCTGCCTTACAACTATATAATTAAAAGCACTTATATATAGATGTATGTGCACACACACACGTGTATCTCTTTCCTATGCTGATGGACCCACGGCTGTTCTGCCCGGTGGTGGCACTGACCCCCATGGCCGCAGCAGTGGGACTGAGTTACTGCTGTGCCCCAACACAGAGCGCTGAGCACAGCAGTGCCCAGGGGAGGAGGAGGAGGAAGAAGAGGCTGAAGCTCCTCTGAGGGGGTGGAGAGATCTGTAAATACAGCAGGTTAAAGGCTGACAGTGTGACTGCAGTCTGTATTTCAAGCAGATGTTTCCCATGTTTTGTAGTACCGTTTATTGGTAAATAAAAACCAACCAAAGACAAAGAGGCGTTGGGTGCTGTGTGTGACCCAGCCCAGGCCTGGACAGAGGGAGAGAATCCCCGTGGTGTGCAGTGGGTGCCCTCCAAATGAGGGGAGGGAGAGCCTGGCTGCAATCCTGAGTCCTCCCCCAGCCCCTGGGGAAAGCTGTGCTGGCAGCAGCCATGGGGTGGGAGGCAGAGGCAGCTCAGCTGCCGGGTGGTGGGAAGCAGACGGCGGTGGGTTCGTAGCACACTGAGATAGATCCACAAAGGGACAGCACTGTGCATAAAGCAGCCACAGCCCAAAGAGAAGCTTGGGAGTAATGGTTCCACTGGAGACGTGGTGGGAAGGGGCTGGCTGTTGTTGATGATCTTAGAGCCTTTTTCAGTTGTAACGATTCTGTGACTCTTAACACTGAAGTCCTTCAGATGCAGCCCAAGCATACGAAGCACCCCTTCCAATGCCAGCAGCTCTATGATTCCATGCGACCCCCTCTGGCACTGCTTGCAGCTCAGCACCCACCAGTGCAGCTGGGATGGGCATCTCCCGGCCCAGCACTCAGGGTCAGGCAGCTCCAGGCACCGCAGGAACGGGGCGATCACCGCTGAGCTCTGCACAGCACTGAGGCTCACTGGGCCAGAAAGCTTAAATATTCAGGAAGGAGTGCAGCTCAGTGAGCAAGTGGGGCATTGCTTCTGGTCTCTGCTTCTGCCTCAGGAACTGCCTGTGTGTTCTCTGTTTATTAATGAGTGAATAGACTCGTAAGCAGCGTTATTTCCCCTCCATCAGCAGCAGGCAAACTCTCTGCACCCAGCACCACGTCAGGCTGCAGCTCCCAAGCTCTGCTGTGTGAGCTCTGCCAATCACAGCCCCAATGCCCCCTCAGTCTGGCAAGGAAGCAGCTCTGCTTTCCCCCCCACCCAGCAGGTGAGCACCGAGGCGTCGCGCAGGGAGCCCAACCAGCGCTCTGTGCTCAGAGCTCCGCAGACGCCTGCAGGCAGCACGGGGAGCTGCAGCTGTACCACGCTGGGGCCAAATAACGAGCAGCACTGCGTGCCCCACCGCCAACGCACCCACAGTGGTGCTTAATCATAACAAAATAAAGGTTTTGCTTTGATTTCTTCCATCAGGATAGCCATCCCCCTCTGAGCTTCACCCACCAGCTGGTATCCAGTCTTTCAGAGGTTCCTGTGCTTTTCAAGTTAATGGAGTGCTTTGTTATGGCAGGACCTGGGTGCTGAACCCAGCTGCAATCAGTGAATTGATTTGCTCCTTCAGGTGGCTCCTATTACATTTCCTCACATCTCCCGGTATGTGGTGTAGTTCTGGGTTCTTTTTTGGGGATCAGGGCAGCTGAGTGGGAAGGTTCTGCTGCTCCATCCTCACTGCTGTCTGGGAGCTGCTCCTGCACTTGTCTGGGATGCCAGCATTCAGCTCTCTCTAAGTACTGTAGTGCTGTGTTTCTCTCTCTGAGGGGATGAGTTGGGTGGGCTCTTCTCTGCTGCCCTCCCTCCTCCAAGCAGAGCCCATTGTCAGCCTGCAGCTGCATTTCAGTGTTATAACTGGTAATCTCCTCCAAGTTAAACCTTCAAAGGCATCCCAAGCCATGTGTTTAAATGATAGCAGAAAAAATTCCCCTAACTCCTTAAAGTTAATGATCTTCATTTTCATTTCCACATATTTCTCTCCATATAATAGCCAGGTGCTAAATCTTCATGAGATTTTTATAGTTTCACTGAAGGAATATTTGCATAATTATTAGTGCATAATCTACTTTAATAGTCCCCTGATTTTACTATTAGAGCCAAGCGTGCGGTGTCAGCTCAGGTTCCTGGGCACACAGCTGCCTGCCGTGCAGTGCTGTGCTGCTGGAGCAGTGCGTGCCAGCCCTGCTGCGCTGCCGTGTGGGGCCATGGCTGGACCATGGCGAGGGGAAGGGAAGCGAGTGCCACGGGGCTGGATGTGGTACAGACACAGCCAGGGCAATGGCTGCCCCAGGTGGGTGTCTGAGCCTTTGGAGGGGGGGAGATGCATGTGGTGGAAACCACGACCTTCCCTTGGAAGGAAGGAGCCACTGGCTGTGTCCAATCATCATAGACGTACAGTCCTTTGATCAAGAGCTGCTTACGCTAAGGCAGAGCAGCTTGGCCATTGATATTATCTGATTAATTAAGGACAACCATTTTCTTTGGCAAGCTGGAAAAAGGATCTGCCTGGCTCGTCCTTAGGTGACCATGTGTGGACAAATGCAGGAGGGGTACTCCTCAAAAAACCACGGAGGTCTCCTAAGACCCTGCAAGCACAGACAGCCAGGAAGCAGCCGAATGGGGAGGGAGCATCGTGCTGCCCAACCCTGTGAGTTTGTCATGGTAGGTGTTCCTTCTGTGTTACACAGGTG